GATTGTTGTATTCCCAAAAACACATTTACAACAGGGGGGCATTTACAAAGTCTTTCCCCTGAGAAGTTCTTGCACAAAAAGGAAAAAAGAGACGACCTAAGTCTACTCTCCACCCCCACTGCCCTCGGAATCATCATCGGAACTCTCATCTGATGTATCCGGATAAGCAGATTCTTCCTTCATAGATCGGGCTTCCTCGATCTTGGATGAGAGATCGACGCCCTTGTCACTCGCTTCCTCAAAAGCCTACTTCCTTGCTTGCGCACAAGCATAAGCAACGGCTCAAGTCAGCTTCTGCTTGGCCTTCGCTAGTATGTCTAGAGCTCATTCGTTCGCAGTGGTGGCATCTTTCTTGTAAGAGGACGCCTTTCCTTCTGCCACAAACTTAGCCGATGACAGCGCGGCAATTTCCTCCTTGGCACTTTGTAGGAGGACCCCGGACAATGCCAGCTCCATCCGCAGAAGGTCCCTCTCCGAGGCCACAACCCCATTTTGCCTCCTCAGATCGAGGACCTCTGCATCCTTGGCAACCACCTCCTCTTGAAGACGCCCCATGAGAGCATTCTTTTGCCCTACCTGCAAAGGTGAAGCAAATTGGTAAGTATTCATGTTGTTAAAATAAAAAGCTAGTTCGTAAAATACAGTATTACCTGCTCAGCAAGGTTATCTTTGGCTCGGCACATTTCTTCCAACCTCACCCGGAGCACGCTCAACTCCTCCTCCTTTCAAGCGGAAGAGGCCTCCGACTCCTTTAAACCCGAGGTAAGATCCTCGACTTCCTTCTTACGGCATATAAGCTCATCTCGCAGCTTGGAGATGGCATGATTGTACATATTTTTAGCCTACAACAAGACAGATGAGTCAGAAAAACAAAGGAAAATACTTGAAGCACAAAAATATATCAAAGTTATTACTTGCCGCTGGAACCCCTCCACTTCCTCGATGGCATCGGGAGCGTCGAGGTCGATATCCTCGCCAACACTATCGAGGAAGTCTCCAAGCACACCTCCCCCCTCGTGAGAGCTTCCCAAATTGGTGATATTTGGGTCCTGTGCATCCTAAATTCTCCGGGTGAGAATCGGGGACCCGAATTAAGGCCACCCAGAACATCAACATCCCCGAACGACAAATCATGTCCTTGAAAAACTACAGGCCCAGGCCCTTTGGAGCCGTCAGCAACGGTTTCCTCGACAGGGACTATGCCATGTCCGGTCAGGAACTCAGGGACTGTATCTGCGCCCTCCTCGAGGGCCTTCGAAACATGGGCTCGAGCCGAATCAACCGTTCCCGATTCAGCGGCCCTCGGCCCAGCCACCGGCGCAGTATCCGTGCCCGACCTCGTCCTTTGTACCAGAGGGTTCTCATCATCGACGTCATCCTCATCCTCAGTACTGGGTCTTGCCCCGGTAACTAAAGTCGAGACCTTGGCGTTAGCCCGAGGCCTACGTGATTTGGGCTTCTTTGATGTAGGAGATTCAGCGGCCGCCTTTCTCTTCCTCTTCTTATCCTAATCAGGCTTCGAGGTTTATTCCTCGCTGTCGGGAGGCAGTCTCATTAACACTCCTTCGCCAAGGCCTGCACAAGCATAATACTCAAACCTTATCAATGCGGAGGGTACGCGAAAGAGATATTAAACATGGTAGTGGCGGCAACAAAGGGCTTACCGTGATTCTTGGCCGACCATCGTATTTTAGCCAAATCGGGCCAAGAACGATCGAGATAAGGGAACGAAGTATTCAATTTCCTAATCCACCCCGACAGGTCCTGGACCACTTCGGGATACCAAACGGTAGCTGCTTAAACAGAGGGAAGATCACTTTTTGAGAAGAAGGTAAGAAGACAGTAGAGCGTGTTCGAGGGAGAGATACTTACGCTTCATATTCCACTTCTCCAGGAAGGGCATCCTTTCGGCCGAGATGACGTCCGAGGTCCTCGATCCTTGTTCTCATCAATGCTCGAGAAAAACGGCATTGAGGATCGAGGGTAAAGCTTAATCAAGCCTCGATAAAGACGAGGGCTATATAGTCTAATCAAGTGGTCGAGGGTGAAGGTCATACCGTCAACCGTGTTGGAGAAATAACGGAGCATATAGACTATCCTCCAGAAAGATGGATAGATTTGGCCTAGCGTCACTTGATACTTGTGACAAAAGTCAAGAATAACCGGATCTATAGCCGGGGAAGAAGGGTCTGAAGAATCGACGGGACCCAAGGTGAATGGGTATGTGTATACATAAAGAAAGCCGGCCTTATGATCTGTTACGCTCTCACTAGAGCTGGGAATCTCAACCAACACTGTCTCCTCCCATCAACAGTCTTCCATCACTTTTTGTATATCAGTCACGACGGTGATATACTGGGACACGTGTTCGCATCGGCCCAGTGTAGATGAGGGCCTCTCGATAGAAAAATCATTCTCCGTATCAAACTCGGTGGGGGTACACTGTTCAACGGTGGGGGCCACTTTGGGTTTGCCCTTGGATGTTCGAGACGACGAGGCAGCACCCTCTTTTCGAGGCACTATTTTAGAGGTTCTAGCCATGGTGATGGAAACGTCCTTCTGAGAAAGGAAGTGATGAATCAAGAACGGAAGAAAGAAGAATGTGAAAAAGGATGACTTTGGCTCTGAAAGTTTAAAGATGTTGTAAAAGTGTGAATCACCAAAAGATTGAGATATTTATAGAAGCCATATGGGCAGCGGAAAGGACGAACCAATAGTGGTTCGTGGGCTTCTCGATAGTCGTGTTCACGGCGACCCTTGCACGGCTTTTGAGTCAAGGCATTTAATGCTCTGATAGACTAACGTCATGGCAATAGTATCAAAGAAGCAAGAGTTCGAAATCGTTTCCTATCATTTTTATTCTAGGAAACGTGGGGACTATCTGTATACGGTGAAATCAGAGGAGCCGATTTCGTGGCCATTACGACGCTTCGTAGATACGCCTGCTAGGGCTTAAAAATGAGGTGAGGCTCGAGATGTAACCTCCAAGGACTTCCAAACGATCAACTCTGAAGCAGCGCATATCGATAGCTATGATGGAAAGATGGGCAGTTCCCTAGGCACTTGATTAAAGCTGGCAAAGTCTATTAGGCTAGTCAAAACCCGTATCATGGCATTAAATAGCTGTACCAGCCCCAAATCTTTGTAATAAATGTATTTGTCCTATACTGGGATTCCCCCTCATATATAAAGGGGTTCCTTATCATTTTTGTAAGCAGAATCGGATACACAATATACAACACACTACATTCAATACAAGAACATTCTCTGCTCTCTAACTTAAACATATCCTCTTGGTCTCATTATTCACATTTATTGCTTACATTCATTGTGTCCTATTAATTGTTCTCCATTTATTGCTCGTTATTGATTATAAAAAGCTGCCGTCGCAGTTCGCATAGCTATTAATCCTTCATCGGCCGCCCTTAGCCAGGCGTCCGACCCGACCTCGAGGCCCCGTGTCGCCAGCTCGAGGCCTCGATTTCCAACCATTCGGTTTGATTATTACGTTATCTGCAAGCTATCATCTTAAATTCTAATCCCTCACTCAATATCTATTGCCTTACAACTAGCATAAAAATAGATCACGTATTTTTAGAACCACAAAATCAAATCTAATTGTTATTACCATTTCCAAGGTAAACAAGGGTCTTTTTTGCTAACTGATTCTATTATCATACACAATGTACTATATCTCCCTTCTTTCAAACATAACCTAATTTTTCCGCACAGAATTACTGAATAATTTGATTGTATAGTTCAGTTTACCAGAATTTCATGTATTCTACAGGGCCCTTCTCTGAGGAAGCCACTGGATCTTGGTAAATTGGACAGTGGTCTTTACAAGTTCATATGGGAAAAACCTTCTCAATCTCAGAGTATTCTGTCTTCTGCTTACAATAGTAGCTTATCATCTTTGTGCACTTCAAGTTCTCCTCTCTCTCTTGTACAAACTGTTTCTTCCACATGTAATAAAGCTACTATAAATGACATGGATTGTGTATGGAATAACAGACTTGCACATGTTCCTTTTGCTAAGATGAAATGTATTTTTAAAATTTCACCTGTTACATCATCTATTTTTTTTGGTAATTTCATTTTTATTAATCACCAAAGAAGTCATTACAAAGCAGCTAAGTCATCCTCGACTTTCTTAGTTCTTTGCAAACATCTATCACTACTCCTATACTATAAGCAGAACATAATGGACATTATACAAGTATTTGTTGGACAGTTGCTAATTTGTCTTTAAAAACTAAGTTGCTGCATCCTTGCTCTCACTAACCCTTGTGCTCTAATATTACAAATACATGACATCTCTCTAGCTATTTGATCTGCAGTTCTTTCTTTCTCATCAAAGATTCTACTGTTTCGCTCTTTCCATATCCCATGAATGTACTCAGCATAGATCATTTTCACTGTTCTAGCTTTACACGACCTCCCTTTAGCTTGTGTAATCACCCATGAAACCATTTGTGTCCAGGATTTTACTGGAGCATCATATATTTATAACCAACTTAGTAGTCTCCACCATACTGCTCTGGAAAAGCTGCATTCACCAAATAGATGCAGATGTGATTCATCTGCACTATTACATAAGTTACATTTTGGACTTACTTGAATGTCCCATCTAGTTAACCTACCTGCTGTTAACAGTTTGCCATGGGATTGAATCCACATTGTGAATACTGCCTTAGGTCTGGCTTCATCGTGAAACATTAAGGATCTCCATGCGACTTTGCTGTAGTTTCCCAATAGTCCTAGGTACACTTGCTTAGTAATACTCTGTCTTTGTTTGACTGTTCGCACTTGTTGTATTACTGTCCTGGCCTCCATGATCTTCCTAACCATCCAACTTGCCTGTTGAGGCATATTTATTTCCATAATGCTTTGCCCCTTGATGTAATATGTGTGAATCCATCTTATCCAAACTTTGTCCTTCTTTTGTGCAAAATCCTAGTGTATGTTAGTGATGGCTGCATTGTTCCACAGGCGAAGATTCAATAGGTTATAACCTCCAGCTGATTTAGGCAGACACATTTTTCCCATGCTATCAATGCTCTTTTTGTAATTATATTAGTGCCTGACCATATATAGCTTCTACTATAGGACTTATTTGATTTCATCACTTTAGCTGGCAATATGAACACTTGGGACCAATAAGATTGAATATCAAATATCATTGTCTGTACTAGTTGTACCCTACCAGCATAAGACAACTTTCGAGTTATACAAGAGGAGATCCTTATAACTGTTTTCTCAATCAGTGGTTGCCATTGTAGGGCTGTTGACTTTTTTGTATCTAAAGTAATTCCCAGGTATTTAAAAGGAAAATCCCCAGGTGAATAGCCAGTATTCTGCAAAATTTCCACCTTTACATTCAGTGCAACTCCACCAAAATAGATTGCACTCTTAGTGAGATTGGCTAGTAGTCCAGATGCTGCTGAAAACTGTTTGAAGCAAGTATGTAAAGTTTGGACTGATTTACTATCACCTCTAGCAAACATCAGTAGATCATCTGCAAAGCTGAGGTGAGTTATATTGAGCTTGCCACACCTTGGATGAAATTTGTATTCCTTAGCTTGCTTCAACCCTTTAAGTATCCTGCTTAGGTATTCCATTGCAAATGCAAATAGAAATGGTGGCATGGGTCACTCTGTCTAAGTCCTTTGGCAGCTTCAAAAGGCTTTGTCAATTCACCATTGATCATAATTGAGTAACTCACTGTTGACACGCAAGTTTTCACCCATTTAATGAATTTTGTGAGGAAGCATAGATACTGCACTGGTTGTTCCAAATATACCCATACGAAAGAGTCATAGGCTTTCATCATGACAACTTTCAGCATGCATCAAGGGGAGATATTTTTCATGTTATATGTCTTGACTAACTCATGAGCTAGAATGATGTTATCTGCTATCTTTCTCCCAGGGATAAAGCCTGCTTGGGCTTCCGAGATGATGTATGGCAATATCGACTTTAGAGATAAGCTTGTATAACATTGTACAACAGGCAATAGGTCTAAAGTCCTTGATTGTCACCGGATTAGGAATTTTAGGTAGTAGAGTAATGGTGGTACAATTAATTGCTGGAAACATTACCCTTGTATGAAAGAATGCTTTCACTACTGCATATACCTCTTCTTTAATCAGTGGCCATGCTTTCTTGAAGAATTCTACATTGTAGCCATCAATACCAGGAGCTTTGTCACTTCCTATTCCTTTCAGTCCCTCATTTATCTCTTGATTAGTAATCTCAGCATTCAATTCTTGTTGCTGCTGTTGAGTTAGAGTTGGCCCCCTTCTCATGACCATCATATCAATAACAGGTAATATATGTGCACTGGACCCCATTAGAGCAGTATAAAAATAAATTATCTCCTCCTTGATAGTTGTTGGCTATGTTATAGTACTCCTTGATAATGTCTCTAGTTCAGTAATCTGCTTTTTTTATTGCCTCTCCTTTATAACTGCAGAAAAGAACTTATTGTTGGAATCTCCCAATTTGATCCAATTTGCTCGAGCCTTTTGTTGCAGTATTCCTTTTTCCAGCATTGACCATGTTTCCAGCTTATGCAACCAATCTTTCTCTTGGACTTGTAGCAAATCAGAATAATTTATTTGCGTCTGCTTCTGAATATAACATACAGCTTGCCTAGTTTGATCTATCTTTTCAGTTACTCCTTTGAACTCAGTTGCATTTAGATGCCTAAATTGCGTTTTCATCTCTTTAAGTTTAAGCCAGATGTTTTTCATCTTCCCTGCTGTCTTGTTTCTGCTCCACCCTTCCATAATAATCACCTTAAAATCAGGATGAGTTGTCCATACATTGAAAAATTTGAATGGACACTTGGTATGAATCCTAGGTTGCCTTATATTGATACACATGGGATTGTGATCTGAGATATAAGGTTCCCCATATTCAGTAATTAAATGGCCATAAGTCATCATCTAAACATCATTACCAAACACTCTATCTATGCGACTCCACACCCTGTCATCACCATGTTGTTTGGTAGTCCAAGTAAAATAATCCCCTCTCCATGGCAGTTTTGAAATACAAATATCATGGCATAGCGCAACAAGCTCTTTTATGTCAGCACTAGTCACAGGAACCTTAGACATTCTATCTTGGGGAGTGAGTAGAGGATTATAATCTCCCCTTAATAACCAAGGTCCTTTAGAACCCTTTGCTATCCTTTTTATGTGTTCCCATAGAGACCTTCTCTGATCAACGGTATTATGTCCATACCACAGTGAGATAACATTGTAGCCTATTATGCTTCCCTGTAACTTGGCAATGAATGAACTGATCTTGTTTGTCCAGAGGTTGTACTACATACATTTGCTCATCCCAAATAATCCACACCCTTCCATTTAAGCATGTTCATAATTAGTTATCATGCTCCATCCAGGTGTTATTCTATTAATCACCTTTTGTGCATTACCTTTCTTCACCATTGTTTCAACTAGCCCAGCCAACTTGATATGCTTATCCTTTATGTACTGCTTTATTTCTTTTTGTTTATACCTCTTATTCAATCCCCTAATATTCCAAATCAACCAAGTCATTGATGAATGATGACTCCACCTCCATTATCAGGTGGTATAAGGTTTTCAATTCTCTCCTCTTCTGTTTGTAATATCTGGAAGCCATTCCTAGTAGGTATTGATATTGTTACTACCATTATTCTGTTATTGCTTGTTAGCACAGGCTATTCTTGACTTTGTTCATTACTTTGTCTGTCTATTGATTTCTCTTTATCTCTTGTTACCATTGGATTCCCAGTGATTTCAGCAACTGTTAGCTCATCAGAAGTTTCCCGCATCATTGGTTTGCTTGTTCTATCAGTTTTTTCTTTAGGCTGTTGCTGCCCTTGCCCTTTAACTTGCCATATTGTTGTAGCTTTCCCTTGCTTCCTTCTTTCTTTAGGCTGCTCTTCTCTATTTATTCTCTTATTCATTGCACAATTCTGGCCAATCCTCATACAGTCTGCGCAATATTGTGGCTTTCATTCATACTCCACCTGCTGTTGAAACATTTTCCTTGAAGGCTCTTGCAATGTCAATTCTGTTGGAAGCTTTTTTTGTAACATTAGCTTCTACCAGAATCCTAGCATATGATATACACGTCTGCTTTGTAGTACATTTATCAGCAAACAATGGCTTCCCTATGGTACTAGCCAGTTGACTTAAAGTCTTGTTTCCCTAGTAGCTCATTGGCAGTTTAGGAAAGGTAATCCATAGGGGTATCTCTGTCAGGAATTCTACCTTAAGATCTAATTCTGGAGTCCATTGTTTTAAAATCAATGGCCTTCCATTGATAGTGTATGGACCTCCATAACGAATATCTTTCAACTCACCAAGTGTATCAAACTTAGCTATGTAATAACCTTCTTCATGCAAATACAGATCTGGGACACCTACTCAACTCCAAGTTTGAGAAATATACCTCTCCATAAATTTGTATCTTGGTGTATCCCCAATTACATAAATAATCAAGGCACATTCCCACCTTTATTTTGGGAATCGATCTCATCCTTATCTAGTTTGACCACAATATTACCATCTACTATTTCTGGTGGAATATGGGATAATAACATACCATCTTCTGAAGATTTGTTGCTTACAAACAGATTTGCCCATGTTCTCCCCTGTACCGGTGCCGCTATATGTGTCTTTGGCTCAACAATTGCCTCCACCATTACAGTTCCATTGGATTTGACCTCAGCTCCTGCTATTTCTCCCTTGTCCTTCAGAATTTCCACTTCTGTACTTACTGATGTTCCTTCACATGAAGATGAAGTCACGTTCATCTGAACTGCACTGAGATTTAGCCTTTTTGCCGCGCCCTTAGTGTTACTAGGAGAGCCTAAATTCTGAGAATTAGGGTGAAATTGGTTTCCAATTGGAGTAATTACTTTTTGTGTGGATCCTTAACCTAGCGTATCTGCAATTCTCATTTAGGTCGTCCTCGCTTACTCGCCATGGCTGCTTCTCAGACGGTGTACGTTAGCATAACATGCGCCGAGAGCCTAGAGAGAGAAAGTGTCGCTCAATGAAAGTTTTGAGGTGAGGTTTTTGTATACTATGAAATCAGAGGAGCCGATTTCGTGGCCATCATGACGCTTCATAGATAGCCTGCTAGGGCTCAAGGCAGACTCAAGATGTGACCTCGAAGGATTTACATGCGATGAACTCCGAGGCAGCACAGATCAATAAGTATGATGGAAAGATGGGGAGTTCCCTAGGCACATGATTAAAAGCTGGCCTAGCCTACTGGGGTAGTTCTGGCCCGCACAGTAGCATTAAATAGCCGAGCCAACTTCATGTCTTTTCAATAAATGCATCTTGTACCATGTTAAGATTCCCCCTCATCTATAAAGGGGACCCTTGTCATTTTGTAAAGGCATCTGGTACACAAGATTCAATACACTACATTTAATACAAGAACATCTGTGCTCTCTAGCTTGAACACATTCTCTTGGTTTCTTTATTTACATTTATTGCTTATACTCATTGTGTTTTATTGTTCTTCGTTTATTTCTCATTATTGGTCATAAAGAGCCGCAATTGCAGCTCTCATAACAGTAAACCTTCATCGACTGCCTTTAACCGGGCATCCGATTCAATCTCGAGGCCCCGTCTACGCAAGCTCGAAGCCTCAATTTCCAGCTATTTCGGTTCGATTATTAAGCCATCTACAAGCTATCATCTTAATTTCTAATCCCTCACTTAGCATCTATTGCCTATCAACTAGCATAAAAATGGATCGCATATTTTTAGAATCACAAAATCAAATCTAATTGTTATTACCATTTTCAAGGTAAATAGTTTGGCGCCCAGTGTGGGGCTAAAAATAATAGTGATTGTTTTCTTGCTGGTTTACTACATAGCGCAAGTTATCTTTCATACTTTTTCTTGTCCAAGATCTTTTTGATTTCAGGTCAAAATGTCAAACTCTGTAAACGCACACGAAAACAACAATCTTGAGGACCATGGAGAAAATGGTGTAGTTGTTCCAGGATTTTGTGTGCCACCACGAAACCCTGATGACGCACAAGAACCAATTCCCATAGACGCGGTCTCGCGCGACGCTCAACACGTCAAAATAAGCTCCCAGACCAACAGGAGCATACACCAAGGAGATCAACAAGAAGCTCAAAATACCCTGGCTCAGGAAGAACAAGGGGTTAGCCTTCACGTAATCTTCGAGATGTTACAAGCACAACAGCTGGCGATTGCTCAGCTGCAAAGCTGCCAGAAAACTCCCAGCATGGTAGCACCGAAAACGGCTCCCCGAGCCGAGCAGGTACCAGAAAGGTCAAGCAACAACGGGTCGGCAGCTGATCCTGCCATCATAAAGATGCTCGAGGACCTCACAAAGAGGATCGAGTAGGGAAAGAAGAAGATAGAAGCCAATGACAAGAAGGTGGAAACCTATATTTCTTGGGTCGATCAAATCCCGGGCGCACCTTCGATCCTGAAGGGTGTAGATTCAAAGAAGTTTGTACAAAAGTCGTTCCCACAGGAAGCAGCCCCAAAAACAATTCCAAAGAAGTTCAGAATGCTCGACCTTCCAAAGTACAACGGAACCTCAAACCCCAACGAGCATGTCACTG